GGCGCAGAGATCTCACACCTGATCCAAACTGATGGGTGTGGGCCACGATTTCATTTTTCCTTTGTTTTCATCAGCCAAGGACCTAAACCATGCCAGTTATACAAATAAATAGTCGAAACTGAGGGAAGTAGAAGAAGCTTTAACACGTCAGAGAATACATTTTTTCGTTTCCAGTGGGGTGGTTGGAAAATGCAGTGCTTCGAGTTTCCCAAAAAGAAACTCCAAGTCACTCACGCAATCTTTTGACCGTTTGTGCTCGCTTCGATGAAAGATCGTTAGCGAACGGACACGGATTGATCGCACTCATCCCGGTCGATTTCCTCTTCAGTTTTACAAACCGACAGAAGTTTGCATCTAACCAGATCAAGCTGGTGAGACCTGTTAGCCCTGACTTCGAGACCTACCAAGAAAGCTACACAACATTTCTGGAAACTTAAGGTCGTTTTGATGAAAATATTGAGCCTTCATCGTTAACTTTGTATTAATCTCAAAGTCGTTTGCAAGGATACCGTAAACAGCGTCACACATGAAACACTTCGGTACTGAAACAGCTCCACTAAGTATTTGCTCAACATATTCACATCTACAGGTGACGTTTCCAGGACCCTGTGAAACTTTACAAATGGACTTCACGAAGCTGCATTTGGAAATATAGTCACTTGGGCTGAAATGCAAGCTCCCACCGAATCATTATAACACATACAAGTACGATCGAATGGAAGTACTCACACTCAAATAACGGAGTACCCTGGCCGGTTCTGTACCAAAGTGGTCAACATATAACCCAAGTATCCGTACGCTCCAGTACATCAACAAAACTTCTTGAAAGTTGACCATTATAAAATGATCAAGGAACGGAGAGAGTGAAACATCTAACATTTCTCCAAAAAGGCAAAGGTTCAGGCAAGATGATTAAGAAGAGAGAAAACTCTCTGTGGAAAATGGGTAGTATCCTTTTCGATACCCCAAATTTCAAAAGTGACACAACCATTAAATTGTAGATAAACAGATCACCAGAAAATCGCAAATTCTGAAGCTTTATCTTCACATCGCACGGGTGAAACATCGATACCTGAAGTCCGTTGGAACTATAAATCCACGTATACCCGGTTTGCCCAAAATACACAAAGACAGCACCATAGGTTAAATCATTTGCACGAAATTTCCAGCCCTCCAGAAAGTTACAACTGCAAAGTGTACCTCCTCATTGTTGTAGAAATTCCTTTGAACAGGGAAACAAACCAGATCACATCTTGGTTTTTTTCCATCGACTCTGATTCGTTTAGCCATTCACGCAATGTCTGGTTTTTATGCACTATTATCTTCTGATATAACTGAACCTGGAGCCTGCGTTTTTATCTTAGACTGGAATTCGACTGACAAACATGCAAACAAGTCGATGTCATGACTGTGAATGGTGCTTTGAGCCTACAATTGGAGGATGACTTTATGGGGTTACAGATAGCAATTCATGTATAGATATAAAACCTTTTCAGTTACCCTTAGACATCATTAGTTCCAACCACACTAACCTCCGTTCCCATCTGAATGTAAACAAACTAACATCTTTTCTGGATGTGCTTATTTGTAAATGTGCCGAACTGCTCCTCCATCGTCCAATCGACAGTCAGCACTGATCACAACCCACTAGATTACAAATACAAGCTGTTAAAGACATTATTCTACAGAGCGAGGAGACTGTGCAGCTCGGATCAAACTGGGGCAAACGGACGAACTTCTGAAGGAAGTGTTGCGAAAACGGTTTTCCTCAAGTTAATTCACCGTAGAGCCAACACGAGAGGCATACTTACTCCTTCAGTTCAAGGGCAACGACGTTGACGATGACAGCTTAATTTTCCCTGAAAGTGCGTAAAATTGGCTGCCCAACTAGGTCTCATGCGAACCCCCAGAGGACCTGCCCTGCACAAACGTTAGTATGGGCTGTCTAAGTTGTCAGCCTCTCATGTAGTCTACGAGTTCTGTTGCAGTTAACGAGACACTTCCACCGGTAGAACGGAGAGATTCCTGGTGGAACGTGCGTTGAACACCTTCCAAGGAGTTATCAGGAAGACCGTAGGGGTCGGAGGCCACAACGCAATCGCGCGTTTTTAATAGACGGACATCTGTTACATCCTGTTTATACCATCTACCCGATCAGCAGCCGTGTGCCGCTGATCACATCAAAGCAAGATGAAGGTAACACATTGATTGAGGTCCCACATCAATTAGTGTAACCTTGGTGCCGCATCGCTACTTCACAGCCTCCCTTCCGCAGACGCTTCGCCAGTAAGAATCAGAAATAATTTTTGTTAGACATTGGCTTCATATGCGTACTAAATGTCTACATGGACTCTACTGCTGATAATGTAATAGGGGTTCATAAACAAGTATTCACTTGTGCGTACTTCGCATACGTCCACGGCCTTGGCATCTGGAGAGTCACGTGTTGTCTTATGGCTTATGCATGTTGCAGAACATAACGATATGCACCTAGAAGCTGTTGTTCAACAACACTCTACCCGTTCTAGTCAACGCTGACCTCACTTCAGGGTATGAGTGAGCTGAGTCGATCGCAGGGAACAAGGTTGTCCAGTTTCAAAAGTCATGCATGATAGAATAGGTCCTTCGATGGCTGTAAAATTATCTCATCAAATGTCCATATCTCCAAAAAGTAGTGCAAATTTTTTCAACCAAGCCGAAAACATTTCACAGCCGACCAACAAAATGCTGTCAAAGGTAACCACTGCATGGTTTTCAGAATCCTTTGAAAAATGAAATAACCTTTAACTGGAAACCTTTAACCTGGAAACATCACAGACAAGAGATTCAGCTGGGTGAGTCCAGGTGAGTCTCTCGCACAACCGAATTTGTTCGCAAATGAGTGCATTTCGCTAACCTTTAGCTTGTTGTATCCTGATGAAACATTTGTGAATCATATGTGCCGCAGTGGACAGAGGACTGTTGCAAGCTACTCAGCTGCCCACTACAAACCCAAAGACTACATTGGTTGTCTTCTCAACTCCAACAAACACTAGTTAACTAGAAAAAGCATACATCTTTGATACGTCAAAAGTAAATCTTGGAATCTTTAGCTGAGATGAAATCGAGGTTTTCCTCCGGAACTAAAGGTTTGTAATTTACTTCGGCTACGATTTTCAGTGTACACCAGTAAACAAGGAGGTTTTACTGCCACTCGGTCATGTGAAAGAATGCCTGGTAAAGAAATGGAGATGGGAGGAGAATATTACAAGCGGTCGTAAATACCAATGAAAAACGCACAAGATCAGCAACGAGTCAAACGCATCGCTGTACCATAACTAAGCAATACGCCATCACTGGGACTGGCTAACGTTTCATTGCAAATTTCAACCGAGGCGAGCAAACCACAAGACGACAGAAAGACTAGCTGGTCAATCCGACCAGCAAATAACAGCTTGATAGCTGGTGAGACCCACTGTAGGGCCTACAGTCCTACGCAAGCTGAATGCGGCTGGGACGGTGTGAAGATCCCACAGCACTCTGTCAGACGGAAGCCGTCATTTCGTGTCGTTAAGTCATAACCTGCCCACCCGAGTGCCTTCCTCGAAGTGGAAAACGGTGGTCCCTCCAACACTCGACAGTTGGGCTTGCAAAGTACAAGCTATCCTAACCTGATGAGTTCTGCTTACTGTTCTACTTACGTATTTGTCACCAGGCCCTCGTTTACGTATGACCTCACCATAAGGACAGGCACCGTCAGCTAACACCACCCCATATCCTCGGATTGGAGGAGCCAGCTTTCATACCCATGGAGTGAGACTGCTGTTACAGTTACTCTGTCCACACGGAACCTTAGCTTCGGCGAAATTTGTTACTATAGCCACAAGAAACAAAAGTTGGCAATTGCTTCCCGCAGCCTTGTAGTGCTTGCCCTCTGTCACGGTACAGGTATGGATTTTGAAGCTGTCCAACTATGTAGACCGGTCACCGAACACAGGTCTCTCTCTCCGGTGATTCACAACGAGACCGTAGACTCAAAATCAAGTGATTTTCTGCACGCGGATCGGACACCCATAAAACACCCTGCTCTCAACGGTTGATCTAGTGAGTCCCTATAAGTTCTACGTCATTTAATGCAGCAGAAACCGAATGACGCTGTTTTTTGTAACTTGTTGCTTACCACCAAGTTGGAATAGCGTTGGAACCAGCTGACCCTATACCAGGAGGAAGTCGCGAAAAAAGGAAAACAAGTAAGTGAGCACATGCCACCGTGAAGTAGAGTCGGACAAGTGAATAGCTTCACGGCTTCTGCTAACCTGAATGATCAACCCGGCCACCAGATAGGTGCGAGGTCGCTAGACAAAAGCCACTGGCAAGTAGCTTGATAAGTGCCATTAGACTGCACCCCAAAACACCACGGAAAAGCGGAGTCTGCCTCAGTCAACAAAAATTAAACCAACCGAATGATGTATGGCATCATTTTCCTCTAAACTACCAGACAGTGGTTGTGCTCTCATTCAGATATCCTAGACTTGTACTCAACCTAAGATAGTACTAGTTAACCGAGAAAATGACTGACTACGACAATGTGGGCGCACCCAGCAGATACGGTTTCCTTCAAACTTTGAGGATGAAGGCCAGGCTTTTGCACGAGTACTCAGTTACAGTCTGAATTCGCTTCTCTTTCAGAGACACGGAACTAAAAGTCTACACTAGACTATACGCAAGGCGAATTCAAACTGTTATTGAGAAACATCTCTCTAATACATTTTGCCCGAGAATCAAGGTAAGGAGCCTTAACGACAGTTGGCTCTATAGAAGGTCCTTTTACATTGTATTGTATAAACGACTGTAAATCTTGTTATAACAGAAAGCCCAATACAAGTAACAAATTTGATGTAAGACAATAATACACGGGGAAGTAAATATAGCCCTACACCTCTTGAAATAGCCACAAGGGCTATGAGCTAAATAGAACAACCATGTGTTAACCCAGAGGTAGAAAGCCTCTTTGGTAGTCACAAGGCAGTCACTTTTTGTTCTGTAAAGTCGATTCTTGAACTGGTAGACCTTCGAGGCTGTCGTAGCTGAGTGAAAATAGTCCCACCGTTCAAACTTGGGCTGTAACTGGTCACGCTGGGTGCTATTTGTGTGTCATCTCCCAAACTTTGTAGATATAAATCAGAGCTACGAGGTGTTTCGACGGAAGAAAGGGAGTTTGTCGTGGAATAGGCTGCAGCATATTGGGTTGACATCGTGGGAATTGACGCAGAGACGTGTTCGTTTCGGTACGATAAGGTAGCACGGGTTGGAATATAGTCGTCCTCCTCATCCGGTGAAGTAGTTTCATCACAATAGGCTGGTGTGATTGTCACACGCTTGGACAAAGGGTCAAGTAGCAGTGGGGTAGGTGCGGGGATGTCAGATAAATTGAACTTTTGGATAGGATTCAGTTGTTTTTCCTTATTGTTGGGGGCGTTGTTGCTGATGGCTTTTGCTAAAGATTGTCTCTGTTGAGCGGCGTCAGGGACCAAAGCCAACGGATTCATGATAACGTTGGCGAATTTGGTTGTTTTATCGGGTCCTAGTTAGTTAGAAGATGCAAAAAAGCATCAGTCGGAAACTGGACAGTAAAGGTAATTTAGAACTAACAGTGAAATCATCAAAGGCATTGTATTATGCAAAAAGCAGCTCA